AGTGCTTTTTGCCCCCATCATTGGCTTGGTTAGGTTAGAACAAATACGTGATAATTCTATTTCCTTTCTTTTCTTTCCTTCCCTTCTTTCTCTCCCTCTCTCTTGTTCTCCCTCCCTCCCTCTTTCTTCTTATAGGAATGGAAAACAAACTCTATTCCTATAAGGTTTTCTATTTCTCCTTTTTTTCTGAAAGAATCCTTGTATAATGAACAGCCTCTACTGAGCCTTACTGTGTGTCAGGTGATGTGCTTAACTTAACATTCATTGCAGCATGTCATCATCACAAAGGCCTCATGAGGCTGGTGCTATTTTTTTTTTTTTTTCCATTTTACAGACAAGGTTTAGAGAGATGGAATCAACTACTTAGACCCACAAACCCAGTAAGTGTTGGAATCCGGATTGATGCTGTAATGACCATTATCCAGATCCTTATCACCGTTTGGGGATAGTGTCTGTAAATTCCTCTGGGTATTTAGAGTCAAGCTTTCATCTGGGTCTCCAGGAAGTTGCAGTGGAGCCATCTGTACTCCCCGACACACCTGAAGACATTTCAGGACTAACCTGGATGAAAGGGAACTGACTTTAACTAGGACAGGACATAAGGACATAATCATAAAATTAATTCACTTTCCTCCTTTTGAAAACGTTTCTAAAGTGTGTATCCTCCCAGATATCGCCTGGCAACGGAGACCCCATTGAGGCCTTGGTTTGGAGAAACTGAGCCATGTGGGGCAGCCTATTGAAGGTGGTCTGGGGACAAGACAATATGTTGGTTGCTGAGTGTGGTGTAATTCCAGCTACTGGGGAGGTGGGAGGATTGCTTGAACCTGGGAGTGTGAGGCCAGCCTGGGCAACATGGCAAGGCCCCATCACTTAAAAAAAAATACATGTGTGATGGACTTTTCTTTTGCCTTTCAGTCTCCTCTCGGCAAAGTGAAAGAAGCGGTGAAGGTGGCCATTGATGCAGGATATCGCCACATTGACTGTGCCTATGTCTATCAGAATGAACATGAGGTGGGGGAAGCCATCCAAGAGAAGATCCAAGAGCAGGCTGTGAAGCGGGAGGACCTGTTCATCGTCAGCAAGGTGCACATGGCGCATTGGGTGGGAGGCCTTCACTTGAAGGCAGGCAGAAGTATCTGGGTTGGGTCAGCAGCGAGAACTCTGTCAGCCTTTTCTACATGTAGCCCTTTTCATCCCTGCCTTGATAACATCCATGGATACAATTCTATCCATACTCCAAGCCATTATTGATCATTGAACATGTCGTTGCTGCGCCACCTGCCTGCGGGTTGGTTTTCCCACCGTGGGCTTGTCTCCATGGAGCCCTGCACTGCCCTGGGCCTCCCTGTTCCCCATCAGAGGGATCCACCATCTGCCCAGAGGCAGTCAGAGGCCAAGGGCGCAGGCAGGGCTTGATGTGTGGCCTTCCTGTCAGCACCGTGGACATGCGACTATGTCCCTGAGGCTGTCAGCTAGAGGGCATTTTGGAAACAGTAGGAGCATTTTTCTATTGTCACATATGATTTTCTTTATTAAGTCTATCGAAAGGTGAGGTACTCAATGTTTTAAAAAAGAAGAGGGTGTTGGGTATGAGGGGGTTGAGAATCACTGGATTTACATTATACACAACTTGCTGAGAAAACACTAGTTCTAGGTACTTGGATATTGCATACATATGGTGGGACATATAGACCCCACTGTGTAGCAGCCAAGTGTGGATAAAGCCCTTACAAAGTTATCATCTGGGGCCTGACAGGCTTGATAAGGGACCTGTCAGATAGGTCAGATAAAGGACCATCTTTTCCC